AAATAATAATTCAACATATAATTATTTTGTATATTATTGATATAACTTTTCATACTTAAAATAAAATAAAAAATTTCTAATTAAGAATACTGATAAAATATATTTTTGATCTCCTTAATTCACATGTTTATCAATTTTAGTTTCTATATTATTAAAGTGACAATTTTGATTATTTTTTCTTATTTGTGTCAATTTTAATTTCTTTATTTTAAAAGTAATTTTTTTGATCCCTTATCAATTAATATATATATATATATATGCCTTGCATTTTTTATTTTTTTATTTTTCTATATCAGAGTATATATATACTTTACGTTTATTTTACACTTATTATTTCTCTTTAAATTTTAATAGGTATACTTATTATACATTGTCATGCAAACGTACCATTCTTAAAATATTGTTTTAAAAATAATTGCTCACTTTATGGTACGCACCTTACGCCAATAATTTAATCAAAACCAACAGTTTATAATTATGGTATTTAGACAAATGATTTTTAAATTTGGTGTTTAAGTTTATTTTGAAATAACTTGTCAGGAAAAAAATATTTGCTTAAAGATGTTTGAAAAAAGTATAAATTAATTTAAATAACGAATAAAAATAGAATTTTATGATGAAAATTATACACTGCTTCAGTTATTAAAAAATAAGCTTAAAACTCTTGGTCACAAATTTAATACGGTGTGCTTTTTTTATTAATATTATATAGTAAAAAAAAGTATGATTTTAAATTAAAATGAAAGCGATCATATTTTAGATGGTAGAGAAAATAAAGTGATCATACTTTTCAGCCACGAATTGCATAATAGTTGTATTTATTAACCTCTTTTTTAAAAAAATAAATTAAAGATTAAAATTGAACTAATTCATGAATACGAGACTAAAATTGACATATTAGCAAATAAAAATAATAAAAATTATCATTTTAAAAATAAATAATTAAAATTGATATATGAGTTAATTAGATGGATACATAATACATTTTACCCTTAAAAATACAAAAACTAAACACACACTCCATAATATTATATATCCTTACAAAAAACAAAAACTAAACTATTTTTTTGTTTATTATATAAAATTTTATTCTATTTAAAATAATATTAGTACTATATACATTTTATTGACATAAATTTTTAAAATATTTAAATATATATTTGATTAGTATTTTAAATGATAATTTTTATTTGTGATATAATATTTAAAATAATAATATTTAATTAGTTAATAATAGTAAACTATGATATTATTTTATTATTAATTTTTTATGTAAGTAGTATTATTAGTTATTTTTTTAAAATATTATATTTTAAAAAATAGAATACGTATTTAAATATTTCAAAAACTATAATTTAATAAAAATATATGAAATATGAATATAAGTTTATAAATAATAATATAATACAAATAAATAAAAAAATATCTTTTATTTATTTATGATAACATAATAATTTTATAAGAAATTGAGACCTTTCATGTAGGTAAACATATTTATTTATTGATGAGATATAAAAATAAAAGGGTTTGAGTGGACTTATATGATATATAATGTTATATGTTATAAAATTGATTTAAATCTGTTAAGTATATTTGAAATTAGTAAAAATTTTATCAAATATAGAAATATGTCATTTATTATATATATATATATAAGACAAAGTAAAATAAAAAAAGTATCAACTCTTATCGAACGAAATATCGGAGTATATTATATCATAAATTAAAATTAATTGAATAAATTCCCTTTACCTAAAACCTCCAATGTACATTTGAATAAAGAAACACACCATTCGTTCTTTTTAGGTTTTGGTATTCTTTTTAATTTAAATAGTTGCGTGGATATAATATTGTGTGAGATGAAATATCATTTTTATATGAAGTTGGTGAGTATTGTAGTATTTCTTTTGTTTTGGCTAGCGTGTTCAAGTTATTGTTAGTGTAGATATGAAAATTTAAGAGAAATGTAACTAGTAAATAATATTATAAATAATTATAAGTTAAAATTAAGAAAGTAATTAGTCTAATAAAAACTAAAAAATTAAAGTGTGTAATTTTTTCCATAAAAGAAAAATGATATAAGATGTGAGACATACATAAATGACAATATGAATATACGATAGGTGCGACGAGAAGAACAATAATTTTTTTTAAAAAAAATCACCAAATAAACAGTGTCATAATTTGTATTAAAAACAATTGCCATGTTGTAATATATTGTTGTATTTTGCATAATTTCAAAATAATATATTATTGAAAGTAAAATTAGAGGTCTATGAATAGATACAATATAAATCAAATAATCACAAATAATAACTCTCTAATCTAATTAATATAACTAAATAATTACGACCTAAAGGAGTGTATTCATATAAGATTTTGTAAGATTCTGTTGGAATTTAAAAAGTCTATGTATATTCGTAGATTAAAAAAATCTACGAAGTCTACGCAGAGTTTGATGAATTTTATATATTTATATAAATATATTTCTATAGATTTGATTGGATTATTTATGGATTTATATAGATTGAATACGATTGTAAAATAATTTTTTATTGATTTATACTCTATATGTCCCACATAATTTGTCATTCTTTTTATTTTGATCAGTTTCACATAATTTGTTATTTTCTTTTTTGAAAATATAATTATATACTTTAATCATATTTTAAAATTCATAATTTATAATTTTTTATTTTGATTAAACTATTTATTCATCCTAATCTTAATCTATAATTATTTTTATTAAATCATAATTATTATTTTTTACTAATACAATTTTAATTACTTACCAGTTACATAATACCTAAAACTATGTGCCTCAACTAAGGTGGACAAATCGGGGTATTTGCAATTTCCGTCTGTATATTAACCGTCTTTTCAATTTGTGTCCCTATAACATTAATTTCGTAAAAAATGTCATTCTTTTTTGCTAATCTGCGCAAAATCTAGTCTAAACGGTAATTAGAAGAATATTAAGGATAATTGAAGAACGTCGTTGACAGAGTAGGCACGTGCCACCCACGTGACCGTGCATTAGACCGAACCGGCTCTCATTAGACCCGGTTCTCCACCAAACCGGTTCGGTTCGAACTGCTCCATATCTTCTCCATATTTGAACTTCTCATCACACTGTTGTCTTATATAGTTTTTGCTATGTTAAGAGTACTATCATATATGGTTTATACTTCTCCCCCCGTTCTTTATTGACACTTAAAGACTACTCTAATGCTTATTAGACTGGTGGCCCTACCGATCATCCAATTACTAATTTTTACTTCTTTTCGAGCCATTTTTTGATCAAGTATTGAGTCAGAATAGCGTACCCTCACCGACTCTGCATTAGAACTATTATTGTTGTATTGATTATTCACTAATCTTGGTGTGTCTCAGTCATCTTTTACCGCTCTTCATTATGATAATCAAAGTATTACTGAAAAAAATACATAATGATATTTTTCATGTGCACATCAAACATATTAAGCTTGATTGTCACTATATTTGTCAAGATCCCTCTTCTACGGATCAGATTGTAGGCATCTTCAATAATTCTTTTATTCCTAGTAGTTTTGAATTGCTCTTAGACTCTTCACTCTTCCATCTTGAGTTTGAAATAGTGTTAGCTATATTATTATCTTATTTGTATTATTATTATTATTAGACTCAAATTCATCCCATATTTGTATTTGTGTATATATTTATAGTAAATTAATATAGTTTTTAATTTTCTTCAAAACTTAAACTATAAATAATAATTTTTTTATACCATCAGTCTGTTCATCCAATATTTTTCAATTAAACAATTTTTCATTAAAAAAATATAAATATACACACATATTAATATACTATATATATCATATACTCATAAAAAGTCAATCATTCAACACAAAATATTATTTTTTATATTACCAACGCAGTTCTCTGTACCATATACAAAAAATCAATTCATTTAAAAATATTGAGTAAGCATACTCAATATAAATATAGATATAAAAAAATTTATATTTTAATTATACATATATATAAATATATTTACTAATTTAAGAGAAAAAATAGAAATGAAAATTCACAAGTAATAAATCGTATTTTTCATCAGAAGTGTATCGTATTTTTCAAGAAAATTTGAAGAAAAAAATGACACAAAAAAGTTTGAAGAGTAATGTCAATCTATACTCCAATTGTGTTACATTTAAGACATATGTTTGTATTATTTAATTTATTATCATTATAAGTATATAATTAATATTTACACACATTATTTTATTTTTATGCAAATAGAAATACTTTGCTTGCGCCTGGTAACATGCAAAAACGTGAAATTACCTTTGCACCCTTCACGTGATCTGCTCCTTGATTCATTGCTTGATGCTATTAACCATAACCAGCTATACTTGTCGCCTTTCGAAATTACAAAAGTACCCTCCCCGTCTCAACCACTCGTATATTTCTATTATTATTTTTATTTCGAAATGTATATTAAATATATACATACGTTCAGTTTGGTCACAATAAACTGGAATTATTTCATTGCACAAAAGCCCACGAAATGTAATTTATTAAATAAATGGTCGTGCTCTGTTGTGCCTGTCGGTCGCCTACTCTTTCTTCTATTTTTTTATTTTTTGTTTAATTGATAATTTTTTAACGTTAAGTAATTTATAATTATAAATTTTATATTTAAAACTCAATAAAATATTTGGTCAATAATTAGGCTATAATTATATCTTCATTTGAAAATAAAATTTAAAAGTTGAAAAATATTGCTTTATTCATTAAAGTTGCCTCCCAACATTAATCCACCGACAGCTTCTTTTTGTGTATCACTACAGCTGGCACCTAATAAAAATAATTTATAATTGTCGTTTTTAATAATTATGCAAAATATAATCCAAATCAATGAATTAATAATACACAAATAATTTTGAACAATTAATTTCGAATTATAATAACATTCTTCAAATTATTACAAATTTTCACTCTGCCAAAAAAAAAAAAAAAAAAAAAAGAAAATTTTTATAATATTTTGACGTTCATTACAGACTCAAACAGAAAGAAAAAAAAAAAAAAAAAAAAAAGAAGATTTTTAAATTTTTAATTAACAATAAAAATCCACACCACAATTTTTTTTTTAAAAAAAATTAAGAAATAAAAGCAAAAATAATGCCGAGGGCCAAACTGAAGAGCAGACTCCCGCCGGCGGCTCTCCCGCCGTCGTTACTGGACGCCTCAGCATCCGCCACCGCACTGTCGTCGTCGTCGGCGGAGGGGCCAGGGCTGTCTGCATCGGAGTCGTCCGAGCTAGTGCCGGCGTCCGCATCTTTCGATTTGCTCTTCTTCGGCTTCGACGGTTTAGGCGCCGGCGCCGGCGGCGCCGCCTTGAAGAGTTCCGTGGGAAGTAGAACGGTGTCGACTTTGAACACTGCGAGCGGATCGTCGTCTAGGAGAGTTCCGGTGATGGTGGCGGTTACGACCTTCGTCTTTAGCTTGACGTCGTCGCCGACGTTATGGACGGTGAAGTCGAACTTCTTCTTCGCACCTTCGGTGGCGAGAGTGTTCATCACGCCATTGCTGGATCTGAGAGTTCCGAGCGAATTGTACTCAGGCAAGGCGTGGTAGAGAAGCAGGGAGGCCTTATCGCCGGCGGTGAGGTTTTTGTACCTCGACATGAAGGAATCGACCGATTCGTCGGAAGGACAGAAAACCGTCAATCCAGATTCAACTTTGTGCTGTAGCGTGTCTTTGACGTCGGAGATTTCGTTTATCAGATCGGAAAACGTACCGCAACCTTGCTTCGCCATTAGAGTAGTTACATTGAGGTCGGTAGGGCTCGCCATCGGCGCTTCGGCCTCCGGCGAGGTGAGAATGTGACTGATTTGAATAACCGCAATGACGTACGGACGCTCTTCGATAGATTTGACGAACATCGCCATAGGTCGGCCTTCGCCGGAGCCTTCGCCGTCTACAGGTGTGAATCCGACCTTACCTCCTTTTCTATCGGTGATTTCGACGTATCCAGAGGTTCCGGCGGCCTCGCCGGTGGCCTGGAACAAGGAGGATGTGGTGGTGGAGCTGTTGGTGATCTGGTGGAGCTTCTTGGCGCCGAAGTAATCGGCGAAGATGTGGAGCGAGAGGACGTTTTTGATGGTACCTATGGAGTAGTGCTTGACGAGGAGGTCGTTCATAGCGGCATTGTCGACGGCGCAGACGGTGATGGTGCGGCGGCGGTTGATTTCGTCGGCGAGGTGAGTGACGGTTAGGTAGTGGCTGAATGTGGAGAACTCAGGATGCTTTGCGAGTATCCGCGTGATGTTGTGAGCGCCGTTGGTCGCGGCGGCGGCGGCGGCGGCGGTGGCGGAAATGAAGAAAAGGAGGCAGTAAAAGAGGAGTGTGCTGAACTGCAGCTGCATTGTGAATGTGGTCAGTGTAACTGCTCTCTGCCTCTCACACTCTCTCTCTCTCTCTCTCTCTATCTGTACTGTGTGTTTGTTTATTTACTAGTACTTTATTATTGATGCCAAACGATTATGAGCCACTCCCCTCAAATTTATATATATATACACACATTTTTGTATGTATGAACGTACATGAGTATATCATTAGTGCATTGGCCCCCATACCACTCGAATAAATCATGGAGTACTTATTTATGATTTATTTTTAAATATATTATCAATTTATATTTAACTGGTTTATATTTTTATTTTTAAAATAAGGTACTTCGATTTAAATTCTTCTGAATTTAAAAATATTTAAATTCGGTCGTATCTTGTTTTGTACTAGTATTGCATTTTCTACTTTTTCATTTTCAATTATATTTGATTTTTTTATATTTAGTTTGCCCTTGAAAATTACCATATAATATGACGAATATTTTGTGTACTTCTGTTATTTTTATATAAATCTACATCATGTAATTATGTACTACACAATTATCCCGTTGTACCAACAAAACGTTAGAGTTATGTGCCTGAAATTTTTATTTATGTACTAAAATCAGTTACAGAAATTTAAATTAAAAAACAAGACGAAACTCTAATAAAACTCATTATCTGAAGTCGTTGATGTTATATTTATTCCAAACCATTCCTCTCGCATGCTGCCCATCACCGTCGAAGCCCCCCACCAAAATAATCTGCGCCGAGCCTCCCCGCAGGAACTTTTGCCGCTGTCAGAAGTCTCTATTCACCGTCCAAAACTCTGCTTCCACTCGATATGTCAAAAAGACCTCCTAAAGCGGAATTCGAAAAATTAAGTTAAAGCTTATGCTTTTTGATAAGATTGAAATTTTGAGTTCATGGTGTGCTTTGATCTATTTTGTATATGCCTCGACTGGGTTCGTAGAAGCCTCAGTGGCGGGTTATTTTACTTTGACATTATATCACACCATCATGTCGAGTATGAGTTACTTTGATGTGTTTGAATTTCTAAATGATCTTAGTGTCTATAGAAGTACCTTTATTTGCATTTTTATGTGTTTACATTCATAGTAAAATGTTTGGGATGTGAGGCAGACGGTGCTTTTTGTTTTCTTCGAATACTGTAAGCAACTTATTCTTGTCAGACGATTTTTTAAGTATTAAGGTGTTGGATGATGTCTCTGTCATAGGATTAGTTATAGACGTATCTATTTTGTCGAGTAGTAAAAATTTTGTTTGTTTTTTATATTGTTTACGAGTGTTTTCCATTGCCTTTGATGTGCTTTGATTGTTAATTTATATACTCATGAATATGTCTTTATTTTGAAATAATGGCAGACCCAAAAAAGAATACAAATAGCTTATCTTCAGATTCTCTATACATTTCTTCTATACAAACATGGCTAAACTTAAAGTTAAGATGAACGACAAACGGCTGAAAGTTCTATAACTTACGCTGTTTAGGTATTTTCTAGAGTGTCCGAAAAAGAAACTACATTGACATCGGTTGTGAGTGATTGTGCATATGTTTGATATCGAGTCTCAATCATTTAGAATTGACTATGAAATTGAAATAAGTTTTTCTGTTGGAGAATTCTTTATAGTTCTTGGATTACATCGATATGTATGTGTCAGAGAATGTTATTGTACGATGTGATTTCTCATATTGAGTGACTTTTTAAGTACTGAAGGTATTTCTTGATATCTTTATCATATTATATTATTGGTTGTTCATATGTCTATTTTTGTTTATTTTCTCTTATCATGATCTACAATATGATATGTTGTGTCAAATCTATCTTATGTAACATTCCCACACACCCTTGAATACATGAACAAATAATCTCAGTAATTGGTTCAGTAGTATTGATTAATAAACACCAATAGTCGATGAAATAACAATGATCCATTCAACTCATAACCGTCTCATCTAGTCATAATCAATTAAACATTTTCGATAATCACTTAAATACCCATATTTATCAAATTGATACCCACATAGCAATATAAATACTTCTATATGTAATGATGCAGCTTGTTTATTAAATAAGTATACCTAGGGTCACACTCAATATACCTCAGGCACATAACTTTATACTCTTAAAACAATTGTAAGAACTTCATATAAAAATTTAAATACCTATATTAATCAATGTAATTTTTGTTAATATAAATTTAGGTAAACGAATGTAATATTTTATAGGTCATGTAATCAATAACTATGGTTCATGTAGACATCAATGATTAATATTTTCCTTAAATTGTGAGAATATCGAATATGACTAATGCGTAACATTTACTCCATATAGCTTATAGCACTTTTTTTTTTGCTTGGACATTCCTTATACTTTAAAAAATGCTTGTAAAACAATCACAATACATAGATTATCATACGTCATCAGTTATGGACTAACTTTAGAATATCTATTACTACGGCTCACCGCATGATATGTTATGTCATATCTATTATAAGCGATATTCTTATCCATCATTAAATACATGGATAAGTGATCTCATAATTCGTTTCAGAAGTATCCGTTGATGCACGTTAACTTCCGAAAAGAAATGTGTGATGTAATCAACTCGTAGTTGTTTGATCCATTACAATCAATAACAAAATATGGATAGATACTTAAGAACCCTTGTTTACAATAACTTGCAACGTACTTTCGTTGTGAATTCATATACTCTTATTTTTACTTTAGAAGAATTAATTTAGACTAATATGTACCTCAATATAATAGTTATGTATATCCAGTAACATATAGTTTAGACTAATTTTCAAGTAATTCTATAGTGGTTTTGTACACATATCTAAATTCAATGTATAATTTTCCAAAAGAAAAAGAAAATTACAGTCATGAGAAACACACCAGTAATACCTAAAATAAATTCTCATTACAACTTCGTCGATTGTGTCTTAGACAACCATAACGATGCTCGTTCATCAAAAACATCATTTGTTACTAGATGAAATCAAACATCTCAAAAAAAAAAAAAAAAACAATGACCTTGTTGAGCACATCCACTTATTCCACAACTCGACTATATTGTTATTATTATCCCACAATGAGTCCATTATAATAGAGAATTCGGCCAATGCTAGAGCTGGGATTGTGTAATGAAATGTCGGAGAAGTGGCATAACCTCAGCAACCGACGTTATATGCTGCTCAAAATTCTTCTGTAGGGGGGCATAACCCGACTTTCTTGAAAATGAACGTCCATAATTTCTTGTTGTGCATAAGATATCTTCATTTACCTATACGAAATGTAATTACGTTGTTGTACATATTATAATAAATGAAAAATATATTCTACACATACCTGAGTGTGAAAGTTGACCACTAGGTACTGCGGAAAGTATCTATGGTGAGCTTTGAGAAATACGACGGAGATGAATTTTAGAAGTCTCGAATATCTAAAAAAATATATTTTTGTCAATTATCAACCATCAACGTCGCATAGAAACACGATTTTAACATTATTCAATATACAAGTACATAAAATAAATACCAAGGTTCATACATGAGTAGTCATAACATATATCAATAAAAGTAGGGTATTTTCAAACAAATACAACTTAGAATATCACACAACAAGGGTACATGATTAGTAAATATAAGTATACTACACCATAAAAAAAGTATCTCGAAAAATGCTTACGCATACTAGTACAAACCCCCCCTCCCACAAAGCTTTTCTCCTATACATACTCTCCCAACGAAAGGTCATAATGAAACTTATTTAGCAACTATTGCAATAATAATATCTTGAATAGGGAAACAATTATCAAAATAATAATAAAATATTTACCAAAATCGATTGCGAGCCCTAACAATACTGCTATATTCAACCAAAGAAATCACAGCAAGAGAATATTCAGAATTGAAACTTTCCCTTACCAGTGTCTTTTTGCGCGAAATAAACCTGAAAATTAGAAATTAAATTTGAAATCGAAACTTCCCCTTACTAGTGTCTTCGGCATCACAAATTCTCCATCTATCATGCATGAATGAACCTGCAGGTTAGACAGAAACATTACATCGCACGAAAAGAACCTAACAAGAGAGAACTATCATGAGTGATAAAATAGATTTTGGGGGTGGAGAAGGGCAATTTTGGATTGACATTAGGGTAGGGAGCTAATGCCAATATTTTTTTAAAAGTGTGAAGTGCAATGTGTGTAAAAGTGGTGTAGGGACTGAATTTAAATATGAAAATACCAATGGGGATATAAATTAAATTGTCCGAAAAAAGAACCTTATTGTATATTAATAAAAAAATATATATCTTAGGAGTATATTTTATCAAATATAAAAATAAACACACTTAAGGGTGTGTTTGTTTAATGGTTTGGATTTTGAGTTGGAATTTAAATAGTAAAAATTTTGAATTTGTATAATAGTATGATGTGATATAAAGTGATGTTAATACGATGTTTTAAATATATAATTGTTTTTTAATATAATATAAAAAAATAAAAAATAAGTATTTTAATAGATGGCTAAGCTTGGGGACCAGGAGGGCAACCGTTGATTCCTAATCAGCAGGATGCCCGGCCATTGATAGACACCGACATTCTAGTGGAAAGTATACAAAGGGCTTTTCCATGAATGAAATTTGAAGAGCGACCGGTGTATCAAAGACCTTATCCAACTTGGGTAAGTGAGATGATGTCGTTGCCTGTTTGAAATAAAGTGCCAGATTTTACACTGTTCTCAGGCGAAGATGGTAGATCAACGATAGAGTACATTGGGAAAATTATGGCTCAATGCGGGGACCTGGGTGCAAATGACTGGTATCGTTTGCAATTATTTTCTTTATCTCTAATAGGTACTGCATTTTTGTGGTACACGTCATTGGCTCCAGGTACCATGCAGTCTTGGTCAGACTTGGAGAAACTTTTCCACGACCAGTTTTATGCGCCGCCTATGGAAACTACGATATCCCATCTGGTAGCCATAAAGCAGGGGTATGATGAGCCTGTGGCGCAATTTTATGAAATATTTCGACAAGCTAAGACGTGGTGCACAGTACAAATCTCAGAACAGTAACCGCAATGGCAGTAGATAATATGCGATCAGACCTTGGGGATCGGTTAGGGGTCCAAAATTTCCAGG